ACAAATATGACCACAAGAAATCGAAAATTTTAGAACAAAACTTTGGAGAAATTTTCGAAAAATCTACGTACCTTGATGAGGCAGAACTGGCAGAGGTCATTATTGCACAACTTCGCAAAAATACCAGGATCATTGGGCGGATAGTGCTTTTACAACTTTGGCGGAATTCCGAACACGAATAATAAAAATTGACCAAAGCGAAAGGGAAAAAGCCACAATTACGAGGGATTTTGAGTGACCAGGACAGCTAGACAACCAGCTACCTAATCAGGGAAATAAAATTTCTCAAGAAGGACTTTGAAAGCCATGTGTAAATTCACTTGGTCTGGAACGGAGTTACGATGAGTATTACTCGAATCAGCGGAGCTTAGTTCAGGGTAATATATGTTCTAATAAGTGCGGTAAACGATACGGGCCAAGGCATTGGAAGCGGAAGTGGGAAGTTAAGCGAAAGAAGGGCGCTATCACAGCCTAACGCCTACTTACACACTGATGGTACTGTATATTACCTTCCGGCCAATGAGAATAAAGGTGCGAGGGGTCGACTTAAATCTCCGCCTGGACAGGATACCGTACATGCCTCTGACTCGCAGTGGTCTACCTGACTCGTAGGTAGATTGCAAACTCAAGTTAATTCCAATACTAATGCTGTAACTGCAGATCCCAGTAATACACGCACGGCTCCTCAGTGGTCTTATGCATATGCCACTTCAAGCGTCTCCAATTATTGGGTACGACAACGCGAATAACTCCACTTGACAGCAAAATTATTTTGAAAGAGAGCCAGTATTGAACCGTTTAATTCCATCTTTTCCTCCGCCTTCTTCTGGAGTGCCTACATCTAATGGAGCATTGAGTGTGTCTTCTTGTGAAAGCCAATTATAAAACTAACCAGAGTTGGTGATACAAGTTAATCCGCGCGAAGGCTAATGGAATGATTTTATACATCACCTAAACTTGATGTGTTCACAGCATCTGATGATCCAGAGAAGATCAGAGAAGAATTAATAGATCTTTTAAGAAGACTGTTAATTTTAACCGCAGAAAGCCGAAAAAAATATTGTAAATTGAGAAAGTTAAACAAGTTTACAACCGATGACCTTGTATTGAGAAGGACGTGTAGTACTAGTAAATCTTCGGATTTTGTCACTAAGAAACTGTTTCTGACTTCTGAAGGTCCATTCCGGATAACACAGATAATCCGTGGAAATTGTTATAAGTTAGCAAATAAGGACGAAATCTTGTGGGCAGATTTAACCTGACACATTTGAGACCCTTCCATGTTCCGGAAACCGCAGGTCCAAAGTAACGCTAACAGAAGTCAAGTTACTTTGCAGTATGTTTCATCGTCACTGATACGAAGTGAAATGCATATAAATAATGGTAATCCTATCCGGCGATAAAAGTTAAGAGTCATTAGTATCTGCACACGACCAGTATTAATTTGTATTTGTCTTACGTCATAATGTATTTGTTTATCAATAGTTCCAGATAATATTATATTATGTCGTACAGAATACCTTTACTCGCCTATCCAAGCCTGAGAATTCTACATGTTCCATCGCTTGAAGGTTACAGCCGATTTTAAAATGAAATAATCTACTATGAATAAGTAGTTACAACTGAAACTGTTGTAGTGAGTTAATGGCGTCACAAATTATATCGAATAAGGAGGGTATAATATCACTGCATATTATATAACAATTGCGTCACCCCGGAGATTGAATTACACCGACGCTGCTACTCACAGAAAGAAAAAATATGCCTCAAGCCTTTTCAAAATGTTAGAACATTAAAAGTGTCACAAATAGGAAGAGCTATATAAATATATACACTGCCTAAAAATATTTGCGTTTGTAAAATTATTCCTCCATACTCACTGTGTTTTTGAAGGTATATTCCAACTCGTGTAGTATGAAAGGAGGAATATTTTCTTTATTTCAAAAGATTTTGATTTTTGATTTAACAAATAAGTTTTTTTTTGTTGTCTTTTTCTGATATCTTCACACTGGGCACGGACAAATTTGTTTTTATTTGTATATTATTGTTTGTTTAGTGTGTTGTATTTTTGCCATGTATATAAGTTGTTTATATGATGACTATGGTTATTTGTGTTTTTATTGTAATTTTTGTAAATTATTACATTATGCTAACATTTTTTGTATAAATGTGAGGAAATATCACGTGAGTGTTAGAGCATTGTTGCCATTTGAAATTTTTCGGATGATCTTCGTGTAGGGAGTGAGGAAGTAATATCCTCTGCAACAAGTTAAATCCTATTAACTGAAGTAAGGGTCATCTGCTATTGAAAATTAGATTCGTTAGACTTAGGACGACATGCTACCATTTTGAATTGATCTCTTAGTGTTTATGTGGTGAGTCGCTAGAGAGAGATATTTTAATTGGTGGACTCACGTCAAGTGTTCCAAAGATAGCATAGTAAGTATTTAATGTGATATAAAATTTACTGAAAGGTCAAGTACTTTCAGAAGAAAAACAAATGTTCAATTATGAACTTCATAAACAAAACGATGCCACGTCTAAGAATGGATACTAATTAGCCGCACCTAGTCCAAAAAATGAGCGACTCATAACACAAGTGAAAAGAAGATATGAAAATTAATAAACTCTATTCACTGTACTTTTAATGTTGTGTGTTACCATTGAACGTATCTCCGAGGCGCGAGGTCCTGAAGTTATTCCAAGACCTTTGTACACCAAAGAGGCCTAGGAAGAACACGCAAGACGCAAGATGATTGGTTCTTCTAAAGGACGTCACCAACTACCGGACGACGACAGGTTTTGGAAGTCGTGTACAGTCTACTGGACGTTCTCCGAAGGCCAACATCTGCTGCCAACTCAACTGTTGCACGCGATATAATTTCTCGCAGTATTATTGGATTGATTGTTGGCTCAGTCATGTATGTTTTTTTTTTTTCGTTGCAGTTCAAAAGGACGACTTTAACAATCTAGAACAAGATATATTGTATTTATTGTGTCATGAATGTGCGTTAATTTGATTCTTGTTTAATTTATGAAAATGGTATGTGTGGTTGTTGCAATGTTATTGTTGTTTGTTGTTAATAATATGAATAGTGTACTAATTTTCACTGATGTCAGAGATAGGTAAAAAAGGGTAATTTATTACTATATTTATCCTTGAGAAGACACGAAACATCTTAGAGAAAATTTTAACATTTCGTCCCTTCTGGAGGGGCATTCTGTAATATTTACGGACTTCCCAACTATTGCATATTCGTGTATGTTTTATTACCTTATGTTTGTATTAATGTGAACGTTAATTGAATCTAAGGTACATTTTAACTGCAAGTCCCTTTCAAAAGACGTTCTAAATATTAGTAAATTATTACAAAAATATTTATTGAAAATTTAATTGAAATTTTCCATAAGCTATAATAAAGATAAAATAATTTAACTGATTTTGTTTTATGTTATTTGAATTTTATAAGTACTTCAATTTATAAATCTAATTGAAGTTTCTCTGTTAAATTTTTGAATGATTGCAGTCTACCAGCACACTACTTAATTTTTCTTCTTTGTTAAAGGTCAAAGTCTTACCATATTTTTAGCCATAGAAGTTTTGTTTGGAATGTTTTCTTTACCTTTGACAACTAGAGAAGTGGCGATTAAAATTTCCATCTAGAAACTTTTGGGGGAGTAAAAGGTGAAGACTACTAGAGGTTCCAGGTCAGCAATTTATTCGGCATTAAATATCGTTTTAACGGCTATTCCGAAGTGAGAAGAAGGGATGATGGTGAATGTAAGATACAGTATGACGACTGTCACATTGCAGATGTATCTGCGGGATCCAGTTCCAACTGGTAATTCACATCTATTCTGATCAATAAATGACTTGCCGATTTTCATTGCTTCGTATTTCCAAGTAAGGAAATTGTGTACATGTTCTTTCGCCGAGCTGAGATTCCTGAGCCTGGTTTTCGCCTTGTTTTTCTGAGAGGATTCCTACTTTAATATTTCTGTGAGAAATAACTATATTGTGCTGAATTATAAAGATAGTATAAGTTTTGAGCCGAAGTTTTCTTCATCTAGTATAAAATCTTAAGTGATGACAATTGATTAAGAAAAGAACTTGTTAATTCCTATTCCAGTGGCCTGAAATATGATGAATTGTTTCTACTGAGCTGCACAAGCTGAACACGAATAATAACAGTTTTTCAATAATTATTTTTATAAAAGGCCATCAAACTTAATTAATTGATTATCGTTTTGTTCACTTAATGGCGGCTTATTTCATATGCATTCCGAAGGTCATATATGTTATACTCTCACCTGCCTCTCGCTGTCTCTTTTCCCGCTTCTACTTCTGTTGATACTGTGGTTTCTGAGAGCAGTTGGTTCTCAGGTGGCTGGGCTGTCCACGACCAACAATCAGGCCATTTGGGTGGGGGCTGTTAAGCTCCTTAGCGTGGACCCTGGGCTTAAGTATGCCAGGTAATCTTATGGCATCTGACATCAGGTAGTAATTATTATATATCTGAACCAAATATATTTTCTGAATTGTGTTTATGTTTAATTTGCAGAGTAATATACTTTTTTTCATTAAATATGAATATGTAATTCTTTTGCGAGATTCTTATTTGAGCAGTGTTTAAAAATTGTTTTGTTGGTAATTTGTGACGAGTCTTAGATAATTATATTTTAATTTACATACATATTCATACATTATGGAGTTTTCTCCTGACACCAATGCCGACTCAAATTCAAGAAAAATTGGACGACTTTAATTCTTCATTGCACTATTAGGGATATTGATGGCCGTGATTCGAGATTAACAATTATTTTATATATTATTTAATCATTTTTTAATATCTCATTTTTCCCGAATTGTAAATTAGAAATAATATTTCTGTTTGGGTATATACAGAGAGTTCTTAATATTTTGGAACATCACCCCACTTCTGTTATATTCCATAGTGAACACAGACGTAAAAGGAAACCGTACCTTACAGAAAGTTACGCGCCAACGTGGGGCTTGAACCCACGACCCAGATATTAAAAGTCTCGTGCTCTGCTGACTGAGCTAGTTGCAAGGTACAGTTTTCTTCTACGTTTATGTTCACTATGGAAAATAACAGAAGTGTGATAATATTCCAAAATATAAAGGAGACACTTTTTAAACCATAACACTAATATTATTTATAATACGTACTTCGGGAAAAATGAGAAAATTGAAAAATTATGAAACAATTACATAAAATAATTATTAATATGTAATTACGGCTACCAATATGCCTAATAGTGCAATGAGGAATCCAAAACGTCAGAATTTTCTTGAATTAGATTCAGCATTGATGTCAGAAGAGCACTCCATAATATATTAATATTTATGTAAATCAGGATTTAATTATCCAAGACTCGTCACAAATTACTAACAAAACAATAATTTCCAAATACTGCTCAAATAAGAAGCTCGTAACAGAAATACATATTCACATTTATGAAAATAATATCCTACTCTGCAAATTAAACATAAAACTCAATTCTGACAATATATTTGGTTCAGATATTTAATAAATACTACCTGATATCGGAGGCAATAAGATTATCTGGCATACTCCAATACGGACTCAACTAACATAAACTTGATCGTGTGAAGGCATAAACAATGAACCATCATTAATTGAACAAAATGATCATAAAGTAATTAAATTCGATGGCCTTTAATAAAAAATTATTGGAATGCAGTCTTTACTCATGTTCAGTTTGTACAGATCAGTGGAAACACTTCACCATCTTGTACAGGATTGTACAAATTAGTATTAATAAATTATTTTACAATAGTTTATTAGAGGAACATTTTATCTTTTTTCACCCACTTAATATTTTAATTTCAAAAATCACTTTAAAATGTTTTTAGACATTCCATTTGTATAGGCAACCATTGGAAGCTAAAGGTACAACAATATCTTGTCGAGTTAGTGACCTATTGAGGAATCTTCGAAAACATATTACACTCCTTTTTCACCTTCTAAGGCAAAGCCATCTATGAAATTTCATTTTTTTTGCATCGAGCAGTTTGGACTCCATGTTGATATGTCTGTCAGTCCATTAGTCTATCTGGACACTTCATTTTATACACACAAACACCTTTAATTTCTAACATTTTATTTATTAACTGCTGTGGCAAAAAGAGTACAATGCTGTACATTGCCTTTCGTTTTGCATTTTACAGTCTGTTTTAAGATAAGTGAGAAACTTTTAAATTATTACTGACGTAGGTGGTATAATAATAAAAATGTAGGCAAAACATAACGTTTTTATTTGAGCACTATCACGGTTGTCACTCGATGTTTAGAAATTATCTATAAGTACCAGAAGTTTCAGTAAAGGAGCAAAGTGCCTTTCATGATGTTCCTTAATATTGTATAATAATTTAGATAAATAAACAGCATTCAACTTCTGCAGTAAGGTTGATTTTGGACTGGGAGGGAGGAGGTGGTTTCCAATTTTTTTTCCTTTTGTTCCGCCTTTGGATCAAAGTATACAATAGGATATGACAGTCAATATTCTGACTATAGCGCATTTGCCATAATTCCTATTACGCACTTATGATGGACACATAGTAGATACAGCATTGGTGAGCAACCCATGTCTAGAAATGTACCGTTTTGGCACTACCAGAATGAAACGAATCAGGATCACAAATATAGCGGCTCACCTATAGGTCGACGAGCTCTCACCTGCAGGCCCTACTAGATCTGCTTGATATGGTAAATATGACGTTCGTTGCAGATATAGTATCTTCAAAACAGATTATCCCCACACATATGCTCAATAATACCTTGTGTGTGCTTAATTTTTACTTCCGCAGTTACGACACATGTAAACAGATCTTCCTCCGAAGCTACAGGGGTTTTTTTTTAAATAAGACTCATTATTTGGCCCAATGTGATAAATTTGAGAGGAGTAAAATCTTGTGATAGGGAAGCAGTCGGTCCATCCCAACCTCTCCACCAATATATCTTGCAAGAATGCCATGCACGTTGGACGGCACAGAAAAATGCACAACCCAATCGCACTATCGTCGTGATATCTGCCCATACATTGATACCGAACCATTGGCGAAATCACAAGATTGTTTCCCATTCCATATGTGACTGTTTCGATAGTGTAAAACAGCTTCCCTGGTAAAATGCGCTTCGTCGGTGAAAACAATGCTCCATGGAAACTCGGGCATGTCTTCACAATGATCCAGGGAACCACACACAGAAACTGGCATGTGGCGCATAATCGGTGAGACCCATTGTATGTACCCTCTGTGGGCTGTGAGGATGTAGTTGCTGTTCATGTAAAATACTCCAAACACTGCAATGACACACATTCATAGCACGTGCAATGGATCGAGCACTCGCTGATGGGTTCTCGTCAACTCGATGAAGTACCTTCCCTTCGATGTCGAGAGTGTGGTGCCTGTGCACTGCACCACAGTTGGTCCTGTTACCTTTGACTGTGCCTAGTTCCCGCACCCGTTGTTCTAGTCTGGCCAAAATTGTATGTCATGGAGTTACGCGATGAAGAAAATGCTCTTGATACAGACTCTGAATAGCTCTATCATTATGTTGAACTTCGCTGTCAATTACTCATCATTGTTCTTAGCAAATGTGTATCCATCTATCCAGTATTGCATCGCGTTCATCAACAATTGAACGGCAAATTAAGTGACTGTTAAAATATTATGTCATATTATAAACAAACGACATGTGGAATTAGGTGACTTCAGACAGCTTGCATTGTCAAGTTTGATTCCCTATCGTGCGGTGGGAGTTTTAAAATCCTGATACGTGTAATCATTGCCGCATTGCAACAGTACATTTGTGAATATGGGTTCCTCATCAAAACTTTATCTACTATACACCCTCTGCATCTCCTATAAGTGTGCAATATGAATGATGCCACATCCAAAAAAAAAGCATTGAAAAGAAATGTACACTATTGACATGATCCACTCTACAGCATTACTGTATCTAATGGATGATTAAGACAATGCAAGTGGTCGCAGTTAAGGTTGAGTGTATCGTGGGGGAGGTAGAGGAAGGTGAGGGGAGTGGTGCTGTACACACATCATTGAGCAGCTCGCGTAGTAGTGAGGGGAGAGGGGAGACAGAGGGGAGTGGTGCTGTACACACGTCGATGAGCAGCTCACGCCACATGGAGGCGGGAGTGGGAGCCATAGGGGAGTGGTCCTGTACTCAAGTTGATGAGCAGCTCGCACCGTAGTGAGGTGTGAGGGGGAGGCGAAGGGAAATGGTGTTGTACTCACATCGTTGAGCAGCTCATGCCGCAGTGTAGTGTGAGGGGAAGGGGGAAGGGAGTGGTGCTGTACTCATATCGTTGAGCAGCTCGCGCCGCGGTGAGGTGTGAGGGGGAGGCATGGGGGAGTTGTGGCTGTACTCACGTTAATAAGCAGCTCGCACCGAAGTGAGATGTGATGGGGAGGGGGAAGGGAGAGGTGCTGTACTTACATCGTTGAGCTGCTCGCACGCACTGCAGTGTGCTGTGAGGGGGTGGTGGAGGGGAGTGGTGCTGTACTCACGTTGTTGAGCAGCTCGCGCCGCAGTGTGGTGTGACTGGTAGGGGGAGGGGAGTGGTGCTGTACTCACATTGTTGAGCAGCTCGCACCACAGTGATGTGTGAGGGGGAGCCATAGGAGAATGATGATGTACTCACGATGATGAGCAGCTCGCACCACAGTAGGAAGAGAGGGGGAGGGGAGGTAGTGGTGGTGTACTCACATCGTTGAGCAACTCGCACCGCAGTGTGGTGAGAGGGAGGGGGGAGGGGAGTGGCGCTGTAAGCACATCGTTGAGCAGCTCGCATTGAAGTGAGGTTTGAGGGGGAGGCATAGGGGAGTGGTGCTGTACTCACATCAATGAGCAGCTCGCGCCGCAGTGAGGTGTGAGGAAGTGGTTGAGGGGAGTGGGTCTGTACTCACGTCGTTGAGCAGCTCGCGCCGCAACTCGGACTCGTCAAGCTCCGACTCTTCGAGGTGTGGGTTGACTCTGTCTGCTGGTGGCTCAGATTGCTGCATGGCTCGGCGCGGTGCAGCTAGCGCCGCCCAGGACAGTCGCATGGTGCCACTTACAGTGATATCAGCATACCTCCTACACACACACAGACACACGCTGCTCTATCATACTGCCTGCTCGCGGTCAAATGTGCATGGCAAAGTCATGCTTTCACATCTACTTTTATGAACATTGTGTATTCTTACAACCAGAGGAGTGTGTATTGTTGCAAGGTAAATTGATGTTTGCTCAGTGGTGAACAAACTCGGTGCACACAGTAACCAGAGTGGAGCCGGGATCAAAAAAATTGTATCGTGGCCACTCACGAGAGATCAGCGAGACAGCTATTATACACGTCCTGTGATGTCTAATGCACTATTATGTTTGAGTGGCCGATGTTTAATATAGTAAACGATTAGGTATATCACAGTGAAAAACACAGCTTACCTTGCAACCCTTCACCATACGCCACTGCTTACAACATGCATATAAATAACACTGCCATAAGCCACATCACTAGAGACATGGAAATTTCGTGAATTCATCTGATAACAATATAAACTGCACAATATTTTGTGAACTTGAGTTTCAGTTAGTTGTTCATTGATTGATGATACAGTTTTACCCCAAATAGGCTAGCATGGGAATGGGCCCTTGTTGCATTGCAGGTTAGTTAGTGGCTCAAATTCTTCCAGGGACTGAGTTAAAAACTGCGAACAAATTGTAATTGTAATATATAGTTAAATATACATTTGCTTGAAGTCGAGCTTATATCAATTCGCCAAATTTCTGGATTTCTACTCATCACTTTATTCATGGGTCGGTCAAGTGAAAATGTGAAATTATTAAAAAAGAAAATATTTTACAGATTTTCCAATGCTTACACTTTTATGAATTAAAAGAAACAGAAGGCAAAATAATTTCAATTCAAGTACTTACAAATGTTTATCTGACACATTAAATTTAACAATAAAAGATGGAACTTCTTTCCCTCTGTCAATACCAAACTTTCTGGACGCATGC